GAGCGAGAGCGGGAGCGCGAGGGGAGGGGGGGAGGGGGGGAGGGAGGAAGGGAAAATACGGAGTCGGAGGGAAGCCCGCGCCGAAAAGCAAGCCGGAGAAAGGCCGGGCAAGCGACGCACTGATGAAGTCCGACTTCTTGGTCATCAAGACGTCCCCGGTCGGCGAGAGCCGATGGAGGATCACCACCGACCGGTCCCGGCTGCAGGAGTGTGTGTTTAGACCGGAGTAGCGCGTGACAATTGGCCGACGAGGCCCAAGCGGGGTGCCATCCTCCGGCGACCGGGGCTGCATGTGGGCCGCATCGCGGAAGAAGCCAGACGAGCTGAGCTCCACGTCTAGCTGGCCCACACGCTCACACAGGGCCAAGAAGTCCACAGTTGTCTGGCGGTGCCGAGCCGAGAAGGCCAGCGAACAGAGCACCGTGCCACTTTGGGGGATGGTGGCGCTCGGCGCGGGGAAGCAGGTGGGATCATCCTCGGACGAGGCAGGCCGCGGCGAACCGGGCGGCCGCTCGAATCCCGGGGAGGCCGGCAGCAGCAGGGCCGAGGGCGACACGGCCAGCCGGTCCAACAGATCAATGTACGAGGCAGTGGGCTGGCGTCCTGGGCGAGGGATGCGCGGCCGCAGGGCCGCCGGGGCCATGGTCAGCAGATGCAACAACTGCGGCAGAGACACCACCGCTTCCAGTGCCAGCGACGAGGGGGACAAGCCGAACATGGAGCCAACACGAATGGAAACCGACCGGGCGGCCGGCACCACGGCACCAGCTGCCGTGTCGGAGGCCGGATACAGGTGGCTGGGGGTTTGCAGGCGCGAGCTGTCGGCGCTGGTGTGATGACCAGCATCATCGACAAAGTGGTACGACCCGCGCAGGAGGATGGCATTGGACTCGGACAGACGCCGGGGCCGGCGACGGGAAACAGACTGCTCGGGGAGGAATGTCAGACGGCTGGTGGCTCGTGGACCGGAGGGCAGGGGAGAGAAGCAGGACCGCAAAGGGAAGAAAAGTGAGGTCAGCGCACCCGACGCAAAGGAAGGTGCTCCTGCGAGGGCGAGGGCGAAGGCGAGGAGAAGCCCACATCCGAGCCGGTATGCTTCAAAAGGGCCGTGGGCGCCGGGCTATCCGACCGGTGCGACCACTCGGTATGGATGCTGGGAATGTGAGAGGGGGCGCCGGTACCGCCGGCAGTACCGGCATCAGGAACATGTGAGCGGGTGGCCTCAATCAGAAGCGACCGGATGTCCGGGGCCGATGTGGGATCGCTGCCGGCGCCTGGTGAAGACAGCTGGGTATGGCTATGCGACCGTTGGTGCGATCGGGGCGGAGCCATGCTACGACGGACGAAAGCCCTCATGTGAGTGTGCATGTGCGTGTGCGTGTGCGTGTGTGTGTGTGTGTGCGTGGGCGTGGGCGTGGGCGTGGGCGTGTGGACATCAGGGGGAGAGGACAACACCGGTCTGCGGGAGAGTGGACGAAGGCAGGAACATACCCTGTATCTGCTCCAGCCGGGGTGGGCGACCGGGTGCCCAGGGTGTCCGGAGTGATGAGACCGTCCGACAGCGAGGTCGAGCTGTTGGCCGACCCTGGCCGGGGGAGGGAGCCGGCCGGGGAGGGACCCCGAGAGATGGAGCCCCCTGAAGATCCACCGTGAGTCGTGTCGCCCCATTGGGAGTAGCTGAGTCGCGAGCGAGTGGCACTTTCCGGGCCCAGCAGCAGGGATGAGGAGGACGACGATTGGGAGAGCGTGTGCGGGGGCCCGCCCGCGAGGCCGGCAATTTGCGGCGAAAGGGAGGCCGCATGAGGATCCAACGAGGAGAGCACCCGTTGGAAGAGGGCCGGCATTTGGGGGACCGATGGGACAAAGAGGCGCCGCTCGAGGGTGAGGAACTCCGCCGTCTGAGAGAGGTGCGAGGGACCACGGTGGCATGAGCGCCAGAAGATGGGGGTGTAAGTTGGGGGGGGGGCGCGCGCGCACGAGAGAGAGAGAGAGAGAGAGAGAAAGAGAAAGAAAGAGGACTGGAAAGGAGGGGGAGATGGAAAAAAGAGGAAGAGGAAGGAATGAAATGGCCCATGCGCACCGAGCTCGTGAGGAAAGGGAGCAAGTCGCGTAGCGAGAACATCCGCCAGCCAAAGCCATCCAGAGCCATGGTCGAGAGCGGCGCGTGCAGGGCCCTGGTTCGGGCCTCATCTGTGTCCAGGAGATCGCATGACAGGGCAAACCCAAGCAATTCGGTCAGCCAGGCGGAGATGGCCGATGAACCAGGATCGCCATCCAGCGATTTGGCCGAGTACTCGGTGTAGGGTTTGGTATTTTCACGGGCCAGTGAAGTCAGGGAGTAACCGGTGAGCCGGAACTTGGGCATGTCTCGCATGTGGGAAAACATGTGCTCGAGCTGTGTGTGTGTGTGTGTGTGTGGCGACGAAGAGGAGGAAAAGGAAAAGGAAGAGGAAGAGGAAGAAGACAATGACCATGATGATAATGGTGGTGGAGGTGGACAGGAGGCAGCCAGGTGGAGATCATGTCAGCATGTAAGATAACTCAGGAGACAAAGGCAAGGGAAGAGACGGGAGAGGCGCCAAGGCAGGAGGGGAGCGGACATTTTGGGCGAAGGTCTCAACCTCGCGACCAGTGCGCAAGACCCGAAAGAAGAGCGGCAGGCGAAGGTCACTGCTCTCGCCGGTGGGATTGCAGGACAGATGCAAAGTGGCCGTCAACTGGGTTTCCAAGGCGAATACCCGATCGGTCCAGTGGGTGGCTGGCATGTTGAGGATGGCCGTCGGACCGACACCGGCCCCGCCGGCACCCGGGCCAGCGGGCGAGCCAGGACCCCCGGGCGATCGGAGCAAACCACCACCGGAGTTGGCCGCCCCGGCAGCCCGCGACAGGGCCCGGCTCCCGGTTGGCATTGCCAGGGGGAAGGAGGCGCGCCGCCGGCGGGCATTTGCATTGAGAGCACCGCACCACCGGGCTGCCTGATCCGGCCCGTAGACAGCCCGAAGGGTGATCGAGCGGCCACTGCGGAAATCCAACCGCAAGGAGCACTCCGCGTTGTGGGACGCCAGACGCTGCTGCACCATGGCCGACGGGGGCATGGTGTAGGTGTGGCCGGAGCCGGGCTCCAATGGGCGGGAGATGAAGGATGTGAAGTTGCCGAGAACCGCATGCAGAGTCCCGGTCGGGCTGTAGTCCAAATTGACCGGGATCACGGCCGCCGAGCCGGATGGCAGGTACATGAGGGCCGGCGTGCGGGGAAGACTGTTCAGGCTGTTGGCCAGCTGGAGGTCCCCGGCGCCGAGGCACTGCGATGGGTGAACCGGCGCATGGCCAGACTGCAGGTGTGTAAGATGCCCGCCGCTGGCCGAGAAGGAGGAAGAAGGCGAGGGGGACATGACGCTGCTGGTGCCGGGCAGTTGGAGATGCTGATTCAGCGCCTCGGTCGAGCCACTCGGGCCCACTACCAGATGCGAGCCGGGAGACCCGAGCGAGATGAATGAAGCTGCGCTGGACATCACCGGGCCATGGTGATGGTGATGGTAGTGGTGGGGGTGGTGCCCATGATGGAAGGAAGTCGCAGCGGCGGCACCGCCGGCCAGCGGCACCGACGAGCTGACCACCACCGGCTGCGGGTCGGAAGTGCTGCTCGGGACCAGGGACGCAGCCACCAGATGCTGCAAACTGATGACCTCGCGAGGCAGAGCCCCATCATCGGGGATTGGCTGGCCCTCCTTCGCCGGGAGGGAATAGATGTACAGGCGCTCCGGCGTCAGCAGGAAGAACCGGCCCTTCCAGCGACTGGTCACCGATCGGGGGCGCTTCTCCAGAAGGACATCCATGAGCAGCGCCCGACGTGAGGCCAGGCCAAACTGGTGCTCGGTATTGGGCATGTTGTCCAGATTGTAGGTGGAGGCACCGCGCCGGCTGGCCGGGCTGGACACCGGGGACAGGGCGGCCGAGGCTGCCCGGCTGAGGCGGCTGCCAGGCTCACTGGCTGGCGATCCCAGGCCCACCGACCCGGCGGTGGAGCTGCGCGAGGCGCCGAGAATGGCCGCCGTGGCGGTGCTCATCCCGGGCGAGTCCCCGCGGATGATGACCCGCTGCACGCCCACCGAGCTGACTGTCAGGCGTCCAGTTACCGGGGCATCGGAGAAGTCCAAAGTGGCGGACAGGACGGCCTCCGGGTCGGCGGCGAACACCCAATTGCGTGGGCTGTTCTGCTTGCGGAAGTACTCCGACAGGAGAGCCGGCGAGGGGGGGACCTTGTCGGCCGGGGCGCCCCCGGTGCCGAGCATGCCGCCACCAGCCAGCGAGTGAGTCGAGGCCGAGAGCGAGGCACTGCCAAATGCCGATGCAATCTCATGCGATCGAGCCGATGCCGAGCGAGTTGAAAGGCCAGGCAGACCGGCCGCAGCCGCAGTGGCCGCGGCCGCGGCCACGGCTGACGCAGATGCCGACGACGCCGACCGGCCGAAGTTGTCTCGGTGCAGGGGAGACATGTCGGCCATGGAGGCCGAGCGCCGAGCAGCATGCAGGGCGGCCCCCGGATCGGTGATCGGGCCCCCATCGACCAGACCCCCAGGACCCGAAGAGCAGGAGGATGCGGAGGAGGACGAGGAGGAGGCCGAGTGCGAGGTGGGTGCCGGCTCCGGGAAGTGGAAGGAGTTCGGCGAGGAACCGCCACTGGCCGGATACGCGGCCGCCGGGGACCCGGAGTTGGCTGTCGAGAAGTGCGCTCGGAATCGATGGGACATCTCGCCGGTGGAAACATTCTCCCCGTTGTGCGACCCCATGTTGAAGGTGTGGCTGGCCGCCGGGGCACTCTTGTCGGCCTTCTTTTTGCCGCCACTGAAGACACTCAGAAGGGAGCGCGTCTTGAACGCAGGCGACAGGGGGGACATGGGCTCGGAGGCGACAGATACCGGTCGAAGAGGAGGAGCCGGAGCCGGGGCCGGGACCGAGGCCGGGACCGGGGCCGGGACCGAGACCGGGACCGAGACCGGGACCGGGGCCGGGACCGGGACCGGGACCGGGGCCGGGACCGGGACCGGAGCCGGGCCGGGGGTTGGAGTCGGGGCCGGGGCCAGCGTCGGGACCGGAGCAAGCGAGGGCGGTGGTGGGGTCGAAGGGCCGGAGCCCGATGCATCCATGCTGGGCTGTCGCGGTTCTGCAAACCAAAGGAGAGGTCAGTCACACGCGCGCGAGGCCCACAAGGAGGAGGGCTCCCTGGCAGGAGGGGAGGAGGCAGACGAACCGATGGTTGACAGTCGAGTTAGTGGAGCCGGCGGCGGCCCAAGACGCAGGGCATCCACCGCCGAAGGGCTGTCCTCCACATCGGAGTCCGAGTTTTCGAAGTCCACCGGAACGCCGGCACCAGCGAGCTGTAGGTCGTCCAGATTGGTCGGCGGGGTGGGAAAGGAACGCCCTGGGGATAGTGTGTGTGCGTGTGTGTGTGTGTGTGTGTGCGAAGGAGTATAAGTTGGCGCAGAGCTTGGGGAAAGAGTAGGGCAGGAGGATGAAGAGGGTTGACGCACGCCGCAACGGCGAGGAGGGAAGAGTAGCCGAGCCACCCCGCGCCGCCAGGGCTGACCCGCTGGCCGCATCCAGGATCTGCAAGTAGGACAGATCGTTGGTGATGATATTCTCGTAGGCGTTGGCGTCAGAGTCGCCCAGGCCGCCGGAGAGGCGGCCGGCGCGGCTGCTGCTGCTGCTGCTGCTGCTGCTGCTGCTGCGGCCGTCGCCAGAGGGCGACATTATTGGCTACAGCAGCGACGGCAGGGGCCGGGGAGTGACACGCGACCGGGGACGGTGGAAATGGCCGCACTGGACGGAAGCCAGGGGAAAATAGACGGGAAGCTTGGAGGTGTGGACGGCGGGAGAAGGAGAGGCAAAAGATAGAGGTGAGGGGGGAGGGGGGGGGGGGGAATGGGGAGAGGATGGTGTGGCCTGAGAAGCCCGGGGGCGGCGGAAACCGGCCCAAATAAAATGATAGGGGGCCGCCCGCCTCCGCCTCTGCCTCCTGCATGCACCCCGGAGGGATCAATCGACCCAACTGCTGGACCGCCGACCAAATGCCGGGACGCTCCGGCATGTGCCAAGGGCCCCGACCGGGGGGCCTCCGTGGCAATGGCTGTCGCGCCCCACGGCTTGCCGCGCAGAGTACCCCTTCCCCCTTGTGGGCGGGGGGCAGGGAGACCGCATCCGGTGTGGAAAGCATTCGCATTGGCCAGGGGGCGTGGGGACGTGGGGGG